AAAGTGCCCTATTTTGGCCGTTTATCCTTTTTTGACTATCAAAAAATGAGGAAACTAACCATTTTTCGCTGCTGTGTGCTTAGAATTTTTCACCATTCTTGAAGCAAATCTTCCGCTTATTAATGCAATTCAACAACTAATGTTGATGCTTTTTTAATGCATTCTAGATTGCAATAGTGGTGCAAAACACAAAATTCTGAGATCCTCTGCGTATTTTTATATGTGTGTGTATGTATATCTACTTACGAATGTCTGTACACATATGTGTGTACGTATGTGTGTGTCTGTGTGTATGTATGTGTGTATCTATGTGCATGTTTGTATGTGTGTGTGTATGTTTGTGTGTATGCATATGTGTGTGTTCCCACTTTTGCCCAAGATTTTCAACTCAGCAACCAGAAAAGCTATGAAGCTGAAACTGTAGGAAGACATCTGCTGTCCATCATATATGACTATTAAAATTTACAGCTTTTGGTATTGCCTTCATCTTATATACGGACATGTGGAAATTCCGGTTAGTGATTTTCTAGCAAGCAAAATCAAATAAAAATTCAATTATTTTTGCACATATCAAACTGTAAAGCAATGAACATTCTTAACAGCAAATGTTCACTGGACAGTAATGCGCAAAATGCATGATCATTTAAGCCGATCTGGTGAGCGCCGCTGTTTATCGACCTGTGTCACTCAAGAGTTTTCTGCACGCAAAATATCTTATTCATAATCCACGGGCAACACATTAAAAAACGCTGAAACGAACCAGATGCAACGTAGGCACTATCCGCCTCATCGATCATCAGAATATCATCGGCTCTGAGTATGGGGTCTGCTTCTGAATCACTTGCCATTGCGTCCACAGACCAGGTATCGCTTCGGTCCTCCCCGTTACCTCCTACACTCAGCGAAGCGCCAATACTCCCACCAGTTGATCGTTGTGAGCCGAATCCTGCGAAAAAAACAATTGTCTGGCTAATAAGCTTTTATCCAACAAGGCAGTAAAACTACGTAACAAACGTATATTCGGAGATTGGGAGGATCACCAAAGCGGAAGCGTAAAATTTGATCAAAAGAGCGTCACATCAAAAATTGTTTCCCCTCCTTCCTCCTCGCTCCTCCCAGCATCCTCGCCTCTACTTTCCTTCCAGTCCCTTACAGGGAGTACCCTTTATCATGGAACGTAAATAGGAATGGTAAGCAAATATGCTATCGCGACCCTACCAGTTAATATTCTTAGACTAGTATGTGCCCCGGTTGTAGAAGTGTGTATGTGTTTGTACGACGTCGCGTCCTATGTACATATTTATTAGTACATAGTAAGTTAAAGAGATAATGCATACAAAGGCGGTGAGGTTCTGGGCAGCCGAAGCTCCCAGAATAAGAGTATAAGTTGAATAGAAGTTGGTCGCAGTGGCGGATGGGTAGCGGCGATCCCGGCGATGGTGAAAAGTGCTTTTATACCTCAGGGGACAAAGATCGAAAGTTCAATGAGGGTAGGGTGGTCACAGTTTGAACCAAGGACAGGAGTATTGCGTCATAGTAACGCAATTGTTCTTTAATCTACTTTTAACAAAAAATCATTAATCATTATTTGATCTATTACACGACGGTGCTATGGGATTATGCAAACGGCTGAAGGGCCGAGAAATATAGCCGTTTTTAAAAAAGGTGAAGAAGGGAAGCACGATATGATAAGTAACGGCCATTTGAAGGCTGATTCAGAAGTGGACGGTCCAACTGGAGCGGCTGAAGTGGGTTTTAATTGATTTCAAAAAATTTTTTTTGCGACCAATGCCCTGTTCACGATGAGAAGGCTGATCACCAGACGATGGAACATTGGTTATAATAACAACCATGGAAAGATGCAAAATTCATGAATGCTAACTAATCAAAAACTTCCTCCTCATAGTCCCCTGAGTTTTACTGGTGTAGAAATTCCGGAAACAAAGTAAACCATACTAATTGGTCTCGATTCATTTCTTGGCTCGCCAACTTCAGCAACAACTGGCAGAAGAGGAGGTGCAGGAGCAGCAGCTGCTGCTGCTACTCCTGC